CCTGGGTACACCTCCAATGTTCCAACTCCACCCCACAAAGCTCACCCCTCCTCAGTATCCAGGGACAAGCTTTCCTCATTATACATATTCTGTGTCCTCTCTCTTCCCCCAGACATTGTCAACTCCTAGATCATGGGGACTCTCCCATGCTCACTTGTGTCCCACATCCCTAGGCTCACATGGGGCACATACTAGGTGTTCAGTAGGTGGTGTGAATGCACACTGTAAGGACAATGCTCCATCCTCAGTCAGACGCAGGTGGACCTGTGTCTCCTGTTCTGTCGTGCCTTGTCACAGTGATACAGGATTGCCAATCCCAATGCTCAAGAACGAATTCTCGAGATATATAATGTTGGTAACAAGTGGTTTTATTATAGGGGTAACAGGTCCTGTGGGCAGAAATCTGCACTGGGATTGTGAGGAGGGACTGGTGATATGCTTTTTAATAAGTGGAAGTTGGGGATAGTGTAAAACTGTAAGGAATTTGAAAACAAGGCTTTCAGGACCTTTATGATCTAGCTGCTGTTAAGGTGAGGGTATTCTCAATCTTTAATAAAGATAAACATTAAGGCACTAAGGCATCCATGAGTTCCTTGAGCAACTCACTCTCTGTATATGTCAGGTCTCTAACAGGGGGCTGCAGGCTGTAAGGACATTTAATTTAATCTATATTTTCTTGTCTTTCTTTCTTCATTGACAGACTGTGAACAGAGCATCATGCTCCTGACAACAAGGAATTTTTCCTCAATACGAGAAAACCATAGAATGTGTATGGTAGAAAATGTTTCTGTGGTGTGTCTACGGTCCACAGAATTCTTCAGAATGAAAATCTGGAGCACAAGAAAAATAATGACTTATCTTAAAATATACAGGCAAACCTTTGTCTATGGATTCCTCCAGAATTCCCCATGAGTGAGGCCATTGGATACTTCTGAAGTAGGTAAAAATCATTACATCCCATGTGCAAATACCTAAAAGTAGATAAACACATCCTTTTCAGGAAATGTAATAGTTTCACTTTCATATTAAATAGAATGGAGTAGGGGGTGCATCTAGGAGGTGCAGGTCGTTGAGCATCAACTCTTGTTTTTGCTGATGTCCTAATCCCAGGATAGTGAACCCAAGCCCTGCACAGAGCTCTGCTTGAGCCTCCTTCCCTCCTCCTCTGTCTGCCTGCAGCTCCCCACTGCATGCTCTCTCTCTGTATATAAATAAAGAAACCTCTAAAAATATTAAGACTGACTAGGAGTGTTGGGTTAAAAAAATGAAGCCTAGATTTTAGAGCAGGAAGGAGAATGTAAGGGGTTTCTTGCAACTCCATTTTGTTATCATTCTCCTCCAAGAGTTGGACCCCTGAGACTAGAAACTACAGCAAGATCATTTTTGGTTTTCTCTGGAATCTTGATGTGGAGACATAGCTCAGACCTGAAGAGCCAGAGGGAGAGACCAAAGCCAAAGGACAGAGGAACAGAGGGGAGAAGAGGAGAGAGGGGGTTTTGTTGGGGAGAGACTGCAGGATCTGGTCCTAGTTCCCGTGGAGATGGTTCAGAGAGAGGAGACTGTGTCTGTGACCAGCGTTATGGTCAGTGTATCCCCTGTGGACATAACAGTAGTGACACAAGGTCACACTCTACAGAATGAGATGATAGAACTGAGTGTGGAAGAATGTTTGGAGTCTGCACGTTCAGCTGGATCACAGCGTTTCTTCCTGTTCAGCTCCTCCACATTGAGTGGCGAGGTGCCTTGGGCTCTGTTATGTTATATGTCTGTGTCTCCTGGAATGTTCCATTTTCTCTTAGTCTGTGTGCATTACTGGAATGTTTCTGTTTCCTGTGGAAGGATAGATCATCGTGTGGCAGAGACCACCCTGCTCAGTCTCTCCAGATAAGTTTCTCCCTGAATGGGGGTTCAGAGACAAGATCCTTGGGTCCAGAGATTTGTCTCACTCCCTCCTTATCTGAGACCCTGTGAGTATCTTGTCAAGGAGGACAAGCTGACCAAGTCCGTGGAAGAAAGTCAGGCTGTAGCCTGGAAGCTCAGTCAAGGCTGTGCTAGCTCACAACTCAGGGCTTCTCCCAGAGAGCTCCTCCTATATTAACTCCCATTTTGCTGCTCTTCCCTCCACAAAAGGTGAATTCTACATTTGAGGCTTCACAACAGCTTCATAGGCAAAGGGATTAGCAGTAAATACTCAGATTCCTCCTCCCTAGACATCCAAGCCATCCCCCTCCACCCAGGACTATTGCAAAGCTCCACTGTGTACAGGAGGAGAGGAGGCTGCAAGCAGGCACTGGTGGATCAGGAACAGGCCCTCCGAGGATGCCCATGGTCCTGAGTGGTGTCAGCCATAGGAAGTCACATCCACAGGACTACTTCAACCAGTGTCCCTGGAGAAGGGTCAGGGTTTTTACAACATTTTAGGACCCCAAATCCCCCATTCCTAACCACAACCCTGATGTCACAACTGAGGGTCAAGTCCACAGCTATGGGCCATGAATTCCTCTTGGGCCTGGTTCTCACCCAGCATCCCCACGGCCTAGTGCCTCATACCTGGGATGCAGTGAGCCTTGGCTTGTCTTGAGAGCAGAGGCCTGGGAGAGAAGAGGAGGTTTCTGCTCTGACAGCTGGAAGGGCAGAGTCCACCCTGAGTAGGACTTTCAAACTGCTGGGATTGTCCCTTTGTTCTGAACATTAAATTTATAAAAGTAGACGTTCTATGGAAAGAGAAAAGGACCACCGTGACAACAGGATCTAATTTTTCTTTTATTTGTACATATTTATTGGAGTTCGATTTGCCAACATATACCATAAGACCCAGTGCTCATCCCGTAAACTGCCCCCCTCAGTGCCCGTCACCCAGTCACCTCCACCACCCGCCCACCTCCCTTTCCACCACCCCTTGTTCGTTTCCCAGAGTTAGGAGTCTCTCATGTTCTGTCTCCCTCTCTGAGATATCCCACTCATTTTCTCTCCTGTCCCCTATAACCCCCTTTACTATTTTATATTCCCCAAATGAATGAGATCATATGATGTTTCTCCTCCAGTTGACTTGCTTCACTCACCATAATACCCTCCAGTTCCATCCACATCAAAGCAAATGGTGGTATTTGCCATTTCTAATGGCTGAGGAATATTCCATCGTACATAGACCACATCTTCTTTATCCATTCGTCTTTCAATGGACACCGAGGCTAAGTTTTCAATTTGGATCACTAACATCTTTTTGTATCTCTTTCTTCTCAGTTTTTATTTCTTCTGTGTCTTCAGAAAGATGTAAATAGAAAACTAGAAGGAAGGATATTGTGATCCAGAATCTACTTCCAGTAAAATTAGTGTGTATTCAAGATCTCTTAAATTGGGAGACAGTCCAAGGCCATTGGCAGGCTGAGGTGTTATCCCACATCTTCCTCTGTGTGTGTCACTGTGACCAGGACCACTGACCCAGTTGTCGGTGTACAGTAAGTGTCAGCCTTGTCCTCACACTGCAGCCCAGAGATGGTACCCTGAACCCATACCCTGGGTGTGGGACAGGGGACAGGAGTCCAGGAGGCAGCGTCCCTCAGTCCAGGCTGGCTCCGGGGGCCTTCCCTGCAGCATCCCTGCAGTGTGTGGTGATGTTAGTCCTCCCTTCTGCTCCAGGTCCCCAGGGGTAAGCTGGGTGTCAAAGTCGTGACACATGCCCCTCCTCGTCTCTTGCATAAAAATGTTCCAGGAGGGCTGAGGCCAGTGACCATGTGTTGGGGGCTTTGCAGACCTTTACAACCCAGTGGGATGAGGAGTTATGGAGGAGCATGAGCTGAATGTCCTAGGTCAGGCTGTAGTGCCCAGGATATGGGCATCATGAAGAAGTGGGGTGGAGAACCCCAACCTCTGCCTTGACCTGCACATCCCTAGGATCCCAGCCACAGGGATGCAGAGTTGGGGGCTGTTTCTCAACCTTTAGGCCCCCAGAGGGAGCAGAATATCATCTTGCTCCCCACTCCCAGTTCCTCTCCTGGTGCCTGTAATGGGAAGGGCCTGGGAGGACCTCTTTGAGCTCAGGGTTTCTGGGGCTGACAGCAGGTGTGACCTGGGCCCAGACTCAAGCAGGGGATGCACAGCATCCCATGGACCCGAGGGACAGGCTCCCAGTCTCCTGCTGCCTCAGTCCTGGTCCACACTTGCTGAGATGAGGGAAGAGGATTCCAGAGCAGAGCCCTCTGCCTCCAGTGCTGTGGGTCCTCACCCCTTGTGCATGGAGGACAGGCCACACCTAGGTCACATCCAGCCTTCCTGAGGCTGCACCTCATGACCCCAAATGGCTCATAACCCCCTGCTGTGACTCCTGCCTGGGGACTGTCTCCAACTGTTCCCCCTGCTCCACTGCTTCTCCAGGATCAGAGTGAGTCTCAGGGTCGGGACCATCCCCAGGGCAGGGAGCACATGGACAAAGACATCAGGGATGCTGCCCCCATGGACTCCAGTGTGAGTCCCTGAAGCCTGGTCTCTCCCTGTCTCTCTCTGTCTCTCACCCCAACTCCTTCTCTGTCAGCTGAGCCTCTGTCCACACTCCTGGTGGGGAGGCCACAGGCTCGCCCTGTCTCTACGATGACCTCTGTCTGTGGCCCCAGGTGTATGCTGTAATTTACATGTTTATAAATAATCAACCTTTAGTTTTCAAACTATCCTGTGTTGTAACTGAGGGACCTTGGGCAGTCGTCTCCAGAACCACAAGGCGTGTCCGACCTTGACATTGGTTATGGAGAGGTCAAGACCCTCACAACACAGGACCTTCTGTTCCTGAAGGGGCAACGATGTCTCCCATCATCTGTGACCGTGGACATCATGGTTCAATTCCAGGCCCAGCCCCGACACATGACAAGGACTGAGCCCTCAGCCCAGGGGACACACTCTGTCATCCTAAGGAGCTCACGTGCAGTTTCTTTGCTCCCTTTTCAAACTTCCTGTTCACATTCCCTCAGGTCCCCACCTTCCTGTCCATCCCCTTTGGGGACAAGGGGTCACACCTCCTTGGGGAAGTGGATGGGGTGATATTCCCCTGTGAGCTCCGTCATGGACCCCAGACTCCTAGATGACATCTCTGCCTGCATGAAGGAGCTGTCGCTCTGGGGTACAGTTTAATGAGCTGTGACAGCACAGCAGTGTGGTGTGACTGATGTCACCATGCCCTGTAGGAGAGTGACATCACCACGAATACAGTCGCCTCCCACACTCACCCTCCTCCTTCCTCCACCTGCTGTTAATCACTGGCCTCCTTACCACCTCTAGATTCCCACCTCTTCCAAAATACAATGAGATTCCCGTGATGTGGAATTTAGTCTTTTATGTTATTCATCCTGAAGAAATGTGCAGTTAATATTCATGCATGTTTTTGAACTTAAGAACTTATTTCATTACATGTTGACTAATATCACCCTCTACAACTATACATCAGGTTGGAGTAAATCTTCGTTACTTCAAGTCTGGTCATTTTATAAAAAGCTGGTATAAAAGAAGTGTGCAGATTTATGATTGCTTTGAATTGTGTTGATTATAAATAAAGTTTCCATAAACATTCACGTGGGGATTTTTCTCTAGAAAGCTGCTTTTTTTTTTACCTTTTATATTTCTGAGTATGGCATTGATTCATGTGTACCATGCAATCATCAAACAATAAGAACTGGTCCTCTGGTTGAAGCTAAGGCAACAGTGTTCCCAGCAGCAAAATGAGCTGACATGTGCATCAGCAGAGCAGGGATGGGGCTGAAGGACCATGATAGCTTCATGACCTAAGAGTATTTCTTTTACTGAGAAATCAGACGATGACAAGTGAATGTTCACTAGCCTAAAAGAACCTGTCCCTGATCACGAGGACACAACTGTCTCTTTCCTTTGACACCCTCTGTGCACAATGGGCTACTCTGAGTGACTCTGAGGTCAGAGATGATGAAGCAAGTGCCATTCCCAGGAGGTCGCCAAGATGCACCTGAGCTCAGGGCATCAACTGAAGAATGAGCAGAAACCCAGGGGGAGCCTAAGCAGGCAGCTGCTGGGGCGCTCACTCACTTTGCAGACAGGTAAGTGGGTTTTTGTCTCACTTCCCCACAGGCCTGGAGCACCGTGGGAGCATTGAGACTGTTGTCCCATGTAGAGCAGTAATAATCAGCCTCGTCCTCAGCCTGAAGCCCAGAGATGGTCAGGGTGGCTGTGCTGCCTGACTTGGAGCCAGAGAATCGATCGGGGACCCCTGAGGGTCGGTTACTATTACCATAGATGACAGTTCTGGGGCCTGTTCCCGGGAGCTGTTGGTACCAGTCCACATTATATCTACCGATGTTGGAGCTGCTTCCAGTGCAGGTAATGGTGACCCTCTGGCCCAGGGACCCAGACACTGAGGCCGGCTGAGTCAGCACAGCCTGGGCCCAGGAACCTGCAAGAAGGAGAGAAACAGACAGGGTGATGCTGGGGTCTAGACCCCACATGTCCTCCCAGGACCCCTCCCCCTGTCCCACATCCAGTCACCTGTGCAGTGAGCGAGGAGGGTCAGGAGGAGAGGGGACCAGCCCATGGTGGAGGTCATCGCTGATCCTGTCTTCAGTGGCCCCTCAGCTGAGCAGAGCCTCCCCTCATCTCTCCCTTCCCCTCTTCATCCTCTGAGAGAGGGAGGGGCCCTTCCATGCAAATGAGACCCCAGCTCTCTGAACCCTCCCTGGCACTGGGTCAGGTCCCTCTGCCTGAGGATGTCAGGGGGGTGGGCAGAGGAGGGGCTTTTGGGGCCTGGGGTGTGGGTAAGGAGGTCCAACCTGTGAGCCCTGAGCAGAGGCCACAGTCAGTGCCAGGTGGTATTCCCAGCTCTGATAAAGCCTGACTCCTCAGAAAAAAGCCTCAACTGCCTTCTGGCATCCTGACGCCACCTCACCCTGCATGGCCTGGGGATCAGTTGCCCATAGGACACAGGTCCTGTCTCCAGAGCTCTGTCCACTCTCCTCCTATGATCTGGACAAGTCTCCCCGCAGGTGGTCTCCCATGACTGTGGCATAGATTTTAGGCTACACTCTAATGTCTCAGTGTGAGGGACTCCTGGGAGGCTCAGTGGTTAACCATCTGTCTTTGGCTCAGGGCATGATCCTGGAGTCCTGGGATCAAGCCCCCCATCCGGCTCTGTGCAGGGAGCCTGCTTCTCCCTCTATGTCTGTGTCTGTGTCTCTGTCTCTCTCTCTCTCTCTGTGTCTCTGCCATGGATCCCTTGGCTTTTCATGGGCCACTCAGGACTGAGGAGGTGTCTCTAAACGAATTCGTCTGACATCATTGTCACATCCAGAGGAGTGAAGAGTCCCCGTGTTACAAGTGGCCTCTTCTGCGCAGGATGCTGAGACCTTCCTCCTATATGATGACCCTGGTTGCAGCCCTCTCCTTCTCTGACTTTCCTGAAAGACTGAAGACCCAGGGAGCGAGATTTTTCAGGTTGTGGGTGGAAGCCCTCGTGTGCTTTCCTGGTAAGGTTACACACTGAACATCATTGTCATCTCTCACTGTTTTCACCTGTTTTAAACTTTAGTTCTCCCCACCCTGTGGGCAGTGACTCCCTCCTAGGATCTGTCCTCCCCCACATGGACACAGGTCCGCAGGAGCCCTGCCATGTGAGGTTGTGTGTGTGCCACTGACCTCAGAGCACAAGGGGCAGACGTGCCAGGGTGTTTTAGCAGGGAGATGTGACAGCTGGAGAATTTCTGCCAAGCATCCAGAGGAAGAGATTGCGTATTGGTCACCCCCTAGACCAACTGTGCACATAAATTGGATGAATGTTCTTTTTAAGAAAATCTTCTCACTGTGAATTGACTAAGACTCAATGATGATGTCACTGTGAAGACGCAGGTGGAATTATGATTATATTGTTCACAGATCTGTGCGGACTGCACGGAGAATAACGATGGAAGCGGCATTTAAAACCTCAGTGCAGTTGCACATGGTGGCTCAGTGATTGGGCATCTACCTTTGGCTCAGGTCATGATTCCAGGGTCCTGGGATCGAGACCTGCATCAGGCTCCCTGTGGGGACCCTGCTTCACCCTCTGACTGTGTCTCTGCCTCTCTCTCTCTGTGTGTCTAATGAATAAATAAATAAAACTATTTAAAAAAGGAATTATTTTGGCTTTCATTTAAACAGACATTTATAAACATTTTATAAAATGATTTGTCTGTTTTTTTAACCTTATGATTATATCATGGGTCTGATCATGCAGGCAGGAAAACCGGAAGTGGTGCCCATGAGCCCCCATGAGGACCCTGTTGTATGAACTTTGCAGCCATCTGAGTGCTGGAATTCCCATAGACAGACGAGCTTCCTGGATGTGAAATTCCATGTCCCACTCATATCTGGGGTGGGCACAGCTGGGGCCTGGGTTCAGCATGTTCAGTACAGAGCAATTGCTAATTCAGCCCCCCATGAGTAGGAGAATGAATTTCTATTGGCAAAAAGCACCTGGACCCATGGTTGTTCTCAAGGTCACATGTGAGTGGTGGAGAGGTGGAGATGAGGGCCACGTTCCTGAGGTCACAGACCCTGTGGTCCAGACTTGGAACAGATGATTTAGCAGAGGTCCAGCCTGGCTGGACGTGTCACTGGTGAGACTCTGGGAGTGACAGCCCAGCCCTGAGAGCACAGGAGGGTGAGTCCCACATTCACAGTGGCCTTGACCTCTGGTGGATCAGCCCTGAAGCTGGGGTCCTAGAATCTATGTACTGATCAGCCTCAGGTGCTGATTGGAGCCCAGAAATGGTAGGGGGCTGAGCTGCACACAGGGACAGAGAGTCTCCCTAGGAATCTTGAGGGTCAGCTTTGACCCAAACAACAAGTATTCAGAGAATATCCTGGCTGCCCAGGTGACATGACCACAGTCCCTTGTGTTCCCTGCTACTTGGGATTGTGCCTTCTTGAGATTGTGACTTCAAAGACAGCTGGTGAGCACAGAGGAGCCTAATTTTTGGACGCATGGAGAAGCCCAAAAACTGCAGAGCACAGGACAATATACAACCAGAGATGAGACAACTGTGAGTGTGAATGTGTGTGTATGTACTTGTTTGTGCACATGTGACCTAAAATTAGGCCAAGTGGCCCTCATTCCCTTCTAAGCCTTCTCCACACACTGGGGCATTGCCCTTTATTTCAGGTCCTGGAGCTGGGATTTCAAGGCCCGTGTCTCAAAGCCCTTCTACCTGAGGGAGGATTGATCCAGGCAGTGAGGACTCATATGAGAGCAGCCCTGTAACAACATCCCTGAATCAGAAGTGCAGGTGCTGCCGAGTGACAGAAACAGGAAGGAGGATGTAGGGTTTCACATGCAGCCCCAGTTTCTGGTCATTCTCCTCCCCATAGATGGACCCTGGGGACTGGAAACTTCAGCAAGATCATTTGTGGTTTTCCCTGAAATCCTGAGGTGGAGACAGAGCTCAGACCTGAAGAACCAGAGGGAGAGACAAGCCTGAGGGACAGGGGAGCAGAGGGGAGAAGAGGAGGGAGGGGGTGGGGGTGTTGTCAGGGAGAGTCTGCAGGATCTGGTTCAAATTCAAGGGTGTCTTGTTAAGAGAGAGGAGAGTGCCTGTGACCAGAGTTATAGACAGTGTATCAGCCGTGGGTACATCAGCAGTGACAAAGGTCACACTTTATGGAACGAGATGATAGAACTGACTGTCGATGATATTTGCTGGGTGGCAGGTTCAGTTGCAGAGAGAGTATCTATCCCTGTCCATCTTCTCCAGCCCCCAAGGGGGTGTGCAGTTGGGCTCTGATTCCTCATCTCTTCCTGTCTTCCTCAGATGTCCTAGGAGGTGTCACTTTGCAGACATCCCCTTAGTATTTCTCTTTTGTCTTTTGAATCGAGACCTTCTGAGGCACCAGGGCGGCTCAGCGGTGGAGCATCTATCTTCAGCTCAGGTGGTCTTCTCAGGTCCAGGGATGGAGTCCTGCATCAGGTTACCCACAGGGAGCCTGCTTCTCCCTCTGCCTATGTCTCTATCTCCATGTCGCTCATAAATAAATAAATAAATAGATAGATAAATAAATAAATAAATAAATAAATAAATAAATAAATAATAAAATATTGAAAAATAGGAAAGAATCCAGACCTTCCTACATATATGTGCCCCTGCATGTATCTCTAGGTAAGTTTCTCTGAAAAGTAGCTCCAGACCATGACTGTGGTTCCAGGGGTCTTTGTCTCACTTCCTCCATCTCTGAGACCCTGTGAGTATCAGGAGCTGCTCCCACTGCCATGGTCTGTAGCACAGTGACAGTCAGCCTCGTCCTCAGGCTGCAGCCCAGAGATGAGCAGGAGCCCTGCATTGGCCGAGGTGTCCGTGGAGCCAGAGAAGAGGCTGGGGACCCCGGGGCCCTGGTGAGTCTCAGTAGACCATCAGCAGGTACTCAGGAGGCCTCCTGGCTGCTGGAACCAGCGTATGGCCACCGCTGCAGCCACTGCTCAGGGTGCAGGTGAGTCTGGCTGTTGTTCCCAGGGATGCAGAGAGGGAGGGCGGCTGGGTCAGCACAGGTGGGACGGGGAACCTGCAGACACATTCACGGGTGATGGACCAGGGGCCAGACTGAATTTCCTCACACCTCTAAGCTAGACCAGCTGACGTAGGCTGACAGTGGCTCTGTGTCCCTGAGGTCAGTCCTGACCTGTGCACTGACAGAGTAGAATGAACATTAAACATCCCAGGCCAGGGTGACAGAGTCCCTGGTCCCCTCCATGGGCTGGGCTGTGTTGGGCCTCCTCTTCTCCTCCCCCGACTGCCACAGGAGGGCTGTCCATGCACATGGGCTCCACCCACTGACTGCCCAGCCCCTCCCTGGGCCCTGGTGCTGGAGCTTGGCTCACACCACACACTGAGGAGGATGGAGGTGGCTTCAGCCCTGGGGAGAGCCCTGGGGGGAAGCACCTGCTGAGACCACACACTGGTCCCCAGGGAGACTGCCAGGCCAGAGGGGACACAGATGCTGAGTCCCCATCAGGGAGCTCAGAACCCAGTCCTCAGGCCCAGGCACCCTGAGTGAAGGGTCCTCACTGAGCAGCCCTGTAGGGACCACAGGGCGTCCCTCATCGCCCCCTCCTGGTCACAGGGCACACACCTCGGCAAGGCCCAAAGCCCTGAGAGCCCAGCTGGTTTCCAGGGCTCACCAGTTCCCTCCCCATTGGCATGGCCAGGTCTGACTCTCAGAATGGGTTCCATCTCTTGGGCATTAGAAGCATGAGTTCCACATGTTCTCACGAAATGTATTTGCGTTTCAACCTCCCGTTTTTGTTTATTTTTGTGTGTTTTTTATTGGAGTTTGATTTGCCAACATATTGTATGACACCCAGTGCTCATCCATCAAGTTCTTCCCTCACTGCCCATCACCCAGTCTCCCCATCCCCTCGCCCACCTCCCTGTCTACTACCCGTTGTTCATTTTGTACCAACATATTTGTTGTATTAGTGACAAATCCGAGAAGTACAGTGTGTTCACAGATGCACAGTAGAGTGGCTCCCATCAGGCCACATTGTATTAGACTACAGTCTGCACTGTAGGGACATATTAAGACTCTCATTCATTGAT